CTCTCTTCTTCTCTCTCTCTTTCTCTCTCTCTCTCTCTCTCTCTCTCTCTCTCTCTCTCTCTCTCTCTATACTGCAAATTGTGTCAACGCAATTGACTCTTTGAGTAGCGAAATTTCGATGAGATAACTAACTCGTCGTTTGCTTAAAAATCACACCATTCACATTGAAATTTGAGTTTGCATGACAATAATTTGTCCAAGAAAAAAAAGGCGCTCCTAAAGAATGAATAATGAAATGCGAGAAACGACTATTAAATCATAAAGAATCGATCATCATCGATTTTTCCTCTTCGGTTCTCCTGTTAAGTTTCGCATGCTATAAATCGCACTAACGTAATTTATAGATGTACGTCAAGAGTCGATTCTTGACTCCGACTTAAACTGTCCGCGACGTATGAATGAGCGCGTACAAACGCGTGTGGATATTATTTTACGCCTCATGCAAAACCCGTTACAATCATCATACTTTCCTCCATCTTCTTTTTTTTTTATCAGAAAGCTCAAGGTTGGATTATTGATAAAAATACGTATCTATTAAGATAATTTAAATTATCGCGGAGATAATATCCTAAAGCATTAATTTTTGTGCAATTATACCTTGTGGCAACTAAGAGGAATTTTATTTTCATTTTATTCAATTTCATTTTAGCTCAATTTTTATAAATCAAGTAATTAAATGTAAATTTTTTTAAATATACACGAGCTCTGTTATCAAGAAACTACGTCGTGACGTGCTGTCAATTCATTTCCCTTTTAATTACTTTAATGGAGCATTTTCTAATTTTCCATTTTTTTTTGTTCCGCATGATTAATCCACCCACCTACCATCCGCTGGTTTCCCGTATTTGCCCCTAAAGTCGGGGAGGAAAGACGCGCTAGGGGCGGCCGATAGGCCGCTCGATACGTCGTCCGAGGGTGGCGTGGTCTCGATGTGGCGCGGTTTTCCTGGCATGATTCGTGTGTATACGCGACACGCACACACACATCCATGCATACAACACACACACACACACACACACACACACACACATTACAAAAAACGGCGGAGTACGGCGCGGTGCTACGGGATCGGAGTAGACGAAGAGCGGCGGTCATTCAGAGCCCGACCAGCGCGCCGTGCACACTTCGCGCCTCCGTCCTCGAGTCCTCGTGTGTTCGCGGGACCGCTGGTAAAAGTTAGCAGCGTGGGAGAAACGACGATTATAACAATACGTAATTCGATATTCGTGAGAAATAGTGCGCGGCGGCTTCGAGTTCGATATCGGGGATCAGGAAGCGAGAAAGAGAGGGCGAGAGTGCCTGGGGTGAAATTCGCGCCATGGCCGGCGTCTGAGATCGATCCCCGAGTGCGTGGCGTCGCGTGAGACAGTTTATCCCATTCGACGACGACGACTACGGTGCCCATCGACGATCCTGTGGAGAAGAGGAATCACGGCAAGGTCTACGAAACAGGTGAGAGGCTGTCGGCGAATGACACGCGCGCGCGCGTGCTCCAGGTTACACTGCGCGTTTCGTCCGCGATATGTTGAATGAAAAGTCTCGTGGAATCCCTCACCGATGCTGTGAAATGTCAAGATGGGGCACGGGATACACGATGCGGGTATAGATATTCTCAATAGCCCCAGCGGAATCATGAAAACTTGACATGGTAGTACTCTCTTCCGGTCTCGTGCTCCGCGCAGTATGGCCGCCTTCAAAGGGCGCTTTGCACCAACGAGGGTGGCTTCCATTGTATCTAAACAGCAAGGGTAAAGTCTCGTCAGGCAAGAGACCTTTTGTGATTTCATGTGGGCGAAATGTGAGAACGAAGAATCTGTGTCGATACCTAACGGCTTTGTTGTTAATTAAACCGTTCACTGCGTCCGCTTGCCGGTGCTGTTTATTACATTGGACCATGGGAACATTTTTCGTCGTGAACAGTATTTTAATTAAATTATTAATGTTAATTATATTATCGTTTTCTAGATTTTTTTCTTTTAAAAAGATAAAAAAATATAATCGCTATTTCTGAAATATCTAATATATTTAAAAATTATTAAAATATGTACAAAATTAAAAGGTGACTACTTTTGAGGGGGATGATTATACATGATGAAATTATTTTTAAATGATAACGTAACCGGATGAAGCTTTCTTTTGCGAATAATTTTAACGGAGTTCCGCAAGCTGATTCAATGGGGCACATGTTAAATACACATCTTGATATCGATTCTATTTTATAAATAGTGGACTTTGTAATAACAATATCGAATGTCACAACGTTCGTTATGACATTATAATTACTTTTCCATTATATCTTATAAACTATTTCCTCTTTTTAAATCAATACTAGTGTTAGTCATTCTCTTTCTGAATGAACTCTCGATATAAAAGGTAAAAATTTATTTTGCCGGAAGCGTATCTTATCTCAAAAATTAATGTGAGGTTTCATAAGAAAAAGAATCTCAGTAAAACTTTATCATTATCATAAATGAAGATCTAATGCAAAAAAGATACATTTTAAATCAGCGGAAAGACGAAGTTCCTTTTATCGCGAAATATCTAAAGAGTACAAAATATTTTTTCAGAACTCTTCTCAGAATTTTTCATCAGTCGTCAGAAATTCCCCAGAGATTTCGCGGTCGCTTTGCTTTCAAATCATGTATTTTCAAACTTTTTAATTCCTCTCGCGCGCATATCAATCTATGACGTCATTGATGTCGTTATCGCAGAGGATAGATAACGAGCGTTTCTATCTGGTCGATTCGCCACGTCATTATCTTGCGGCATAGGCATAGAACAAAGGGTTCCGAAAACTAGGTTCGGAAAACCCGGTCGGCGACCCACGTGGCCTATTGATTTTCTCATCCCCCCCTCCCTCCTCTTCCTCTCTCTCTCTCTCTGCACATCGTTGTCGCCATTAGGAACTGACAGCCCTTTCGCCATCGCCGTCAGTTAATTTCGCGCGCGAATATTGACACTCTCGAAAGAGCACGGATTCGAGGGCATTCGAGAGCACTCGTGAGCACGCAAGAGGACCGCGCTCTCTTTGCGCAACACACGAACCGGAAGTCAGTCGCGTATAATACGACTTATCAAATCGCGCGAACAGAGCCAGCGACTCGTCCGCGCCTCATGTGCTCGTAATTTTCTCGGTGACGAACCCACGGCCCACGCTGCGTTTTCGCTTGAAACGATCACGAAGTCTTGATTTTGCGAACGTCTCGCTTGTGAATTGTTTCCTCCTTGCATTAGATACGAGATATTAGTTTCGTCTGCGATGTTTCGTAGTTGCGATTTAGACAGATATTGACATTTAATGCGTAATATCCCGTGATAAAATTGCGATGAAAAATAATGGAAATTTAATTTTTACGCATGATGTATGTCGACATTTGTTAATAACGAAATATAAACAAGGGTCTTAATTTCAGAACGACGAGAGACTTGCCGGAGTAATTCTATAGTTACAAACGCGTAATGTTGCGCAATTCTAGTCATCCTACGGTAATTCCATCTTAGAAATTGTAAAATATTGCATTGGAAAAGTTTCAATTTACATTACTGCCAATATTCATGAAAGTTTTATAAATATTTTTTAAATAATAATAGGTTTTTTTTGTAAATTTAAAAAACACTTCAAAAGAGTTACAGTAGAAATTTTAAATAGAAATTTTATAAATAATAATAAAAAGATTCTACAAAAGGATATTTATTCTAATCAAAACTGTTTTTTATATTTCTAGGAGAATTCATGTTTCTTTACGACGTATTAGAAGAAATTTCTCTTAACGTTTTGTATATTAGAAAATAAAGAAATTATTTATTTCATAACAACAAATGTACGTAAATGTTAAAATATTATTAAGATCGATAGTTGGGCTATTTCAGTATCTTTATATAAACGCGTGAAATATAAATTAATCAGAAAGGAAGCAATTTGTCATTCTCATGTCGCAAAAGTCATGTCATCGTTCTTCGTAGAAAGTAATCGATGACTCCGGTATCTTTGCCTTCACCTCAGGTAGGTTTAAATACAGTTTGCTTCAGACGGACGCGCTAGCATGCACAGAGGTTAGTTTAGGATCGATAAAAAACATGATGCAACATTCGGCCAGACTTTCATGGGTACCATGGCTCGCCGTGATCTTAGTCAGCATACGTCAAAACTGCAACCGAGACACTTCTTTATTAATTTTAAAATATGTCATAAAAGAAGAATTTAAAATTGTTGATTTAAAAATATGAAAAATAATATTAATAGGAATGATAATAAATTAAATAATCTAATAAATTAATAAGTGAAGGAATGAAAATATAAAAAAATGTAGCAATTAAAAATATTACATACATAATTTTTTAATATAACAAATTTGATACTTTTAGTAAGCCTTTTTATTTAATAAATAATAAGTAAGTCGAAAAATAAAATAAATAATATATATAATAAAATAAATAATAAAAAATAAAAATATAGCGGAATACAGCAATTAATAATAAAACTGAAAAATCGTTAGACTGACGAAAGCGTAGAACGAGACGACCGTTTCGTGGAACGTTGCTGCTGGGATGTCTGGTCCAAAGTGACGAACATTAGGGACCGGAGTAGGGGTCCTAGATAATACGGAGGCTTGGACAAAGCCTTCGACGATCTTTCACGGACATATGTACACACACACACACACACACACACACACACACACACACACACACACACACACACACACACACATTCAACGCATCTGTACTCACACGCATGAAAAATGGAACAAGAAATGCCGGTAGGCAATGTATGTATATATAAATTTTGCACGCGTGTTTCTCGGACAGCTGAAGCAATACAAATGCCAGCCTGACGCATTACGGCTTTGGATCAAGGGGATTCTACTACGCGTGGAACACGCGAAATACAACGGTAGAATTTTATGCAAACTAATGACGATAAATATTCATGATCCGTCCGCATCTCGTACGTGAACTGTAGTAAAAATCATTCGCGTGGATTTTGTAAAGAATTTTATAACGGTGTATTAATTACACGGTGATTATTTTTAGCAAAGATGTAATTTTCATTCTAGAAAATTAAACAAGGATATAATTCATAATTTTCTCATCACGTTATAGTTTATAGTTTCTAGTTCTGTGATCGTGACGATGTTCTTATTTTTAGCTTTCACGTTTGTTTCCGCAATTTTGAAAAAAATCTTTCGCGCGGAGAAAAAAATGGCGCGTGCGGAATGTATTGCGAAAGATTTGTTTGGATTGTAACATGAAACCACGCGATACTTGATGCTAGACATACCGAGTCACGAGCGAGATGATATGTCATCGTACGATATGATTAAAGACATAGACACGTGCCTAGAGACTTGGAAGTGCGAACAAATCATTTTCAACAATTGATTCTTGTAATTATATTTATATACATATTATATTTACATATTATATTTAAAAAAAAACATTGATTTGATATATACATCGAGAAATGTATTCTATTTTTCATGAATAATCGAATATTTCTCAATAACAAAATAATTATCTGTATTATTCTGTATTATAAACTTGCACTCTTTGCATGAACTTAAGGACGGTATTCATAATCAGTTCTTACATTTAAGATTGCCTTAAAATTACATTTCAATCAATAAGATAGCCAACCAATAAGATACTCAAGACAATCTTAAAATGTAACAATGGATGATTAAATATAACAATGGATTATGAATACCTTCTTAAATGTTCTTAAATGTTATAATTCTCAAAATATATTTCTAAGATCCTGTGCACAAAGGAGAGAATATTAAAGACAGAAATAAATATTAAATTTTAAAAATAAAAATTAAACATACGCCCAATGGACACAAATAAATATAAAATATAAGATTCGGGTATTACGTTTAATTTTTATTCCTAATATTTATTTTTTAATTTAATATTTATTCTTGTTCTTATTTTTTCCATTGTGCACAGAGCCGGGTTAGACTCTTATTAAAAGGTTATTTAATATTCTTTTTCTTTCTCTATTTCTGTAGTCTTTAATCAATTCTTTAACTCTCTTATATTTTTACAAGAAAAAATTAAACACAATTTAATAAAAAAATAAAAAAAATTTAATATTCTTGAAAAATTTCTGTAAATTATATAAAGAAATTGCGAAATGACATGTCATCTAAACGTAAAAGAATTATGTTAAATAACTGCAAAGGTAATTCTTCTTTAAAGACTGCAAGGAATCCTGCAAATAAACTCCAATTTGTTCTAACAAGTCACAAAATAGTCTTGAGCGGATTTATTCTATTAGATACTTGGAAAAAGAAACCTCGTAATTCTCCGCGCGTCCTCGCCGTTTTTATTTTGTTTCGATAATGTATGCTTATCTCCTCATGCTCTACTAATACTAATTCCAATTCTGTCAACATTTCCTTGCTGTCTGATCGACCAACGTTCCAACCAGGATGATCTTTCAAATACCAAAATCCGCTCAGTTTTCACAAAACATCACATCCGCGTTCAGCTCGCGATAAAAATATTCTCTTCAATTGCCAATCTATAACTATCAAGGAAAGACAAGATAATTTGCTTCGAAGATAAAACATAGAATAAAGAGCTAACAATATTACCGGACGATTGAATTTTATCACGTTGTAAATATCGCGACACTTGACGCTTTCTTAATGTTCTCGAGAAAATTTCCTGGAATATTGGATATCTGAGGCTCAAATTCTCGTATCTCTTGTCGGCGAACCTTATGGAACTAGCTGGTCCAGCCGATCGGAAATCGAGCGATCGATGATCGAACCAGTGAAACGAGACGAAATGACATTGGCAATGGGGGCGCAGGATGCGGCGCGGGCTCGTCGGTCGATCGGCGAATCGGACGATCGCAAAAGTAGACGACACTGCGTGTTTCAATATTTTATACTAATGAGCGCGATTAATGAGTGCACGGGCGGGCGTACTGCATCAAGGAACAGGTTTTTGCCGCGACAGGTTGTTTGTCGAGTGATAATAAAGGTGTGTATCGATGATCACACGTACGATTGGTCGAAGTCTAGCCCGATAAGCGCCGTGACAATGACGCAGAATCCTAATTAATTTCACGGTACACACACACACACACACACACACACATATGTGTACACATGACGCGCGTTCTCCAAAACTCACTTTTCCTCGCCAGTCCCGCGGTTACGCTCGCGACGTAACGTCGACTACGACTCACATGAGGCGAAGCACAAGCATTGATAAATGATAGAGTTGCGGCTAAAATAAACGAGATAACGACAGTCAAGCTTTCCCCTGCTAGTGAACTCGTACGTTTTATAGAAAATTCGTAAGTAAAATTAAAATCGATAGATATAAATGGAGAAATAATATAATTGTTGAATTCCCATGAATTTTCATCCTTATATTATGATACGTTTGTCATCTGCTATGGCTGATCAATCAACAGAGCCATACACACAAAACAGAAAGAAAAAAAATATTATCCCTCTGACTTTCACATTATAAATAAGTAACGCCTTTTCTGTCGAATTTCTTGTATCAAGTTGTATTTATTATTTATCTATTTAAACATAAAGTGCTACATAGGTTATACAAAATTTGTATTCTCTCGTTTCGTATTAACTGTTGTAAATTACATGAATTAGTTAAGTGATTTCTGTAATGACATTAATAATAATATAATAATAATAATAATAATAATAACATACTAATAATAATTACGAAACAGTAATAATACTCATTGTTATTATACGTTATTTTATTATATTAATTATTATTATTTATAATAATACAATCATTATTTAATAATAATAATAATAATTTATATTAATCATAATAATAAAAGTTAGTAATGATAAAACAGAAATTATAATTATTTTATTAGAAAAGTTAGAGTAAAAGCAAAAGACTAATAAAACTATTAACAACAATTTTTTATTAATGTCTGCATGAAGTTTAAGGGTCACATCAGTCCTGAAGAATCTCTTATTCTCGTGGCTGATAATAATCAGAAAATTGAACGAATTTTCTTGCAACGAACCTGTTGCCTGCTACGAGAGTCTTGAGTTTTCCAAGAAATTGGCGTAAGCAACCAATCGCCCACACGAAATCCTCGTTCATATCCTCACGCACGTTCCCCGCACAAGGAGATCTTTTTCTCCGAGATAAATCGACGTTTGTTCGTTACGAAAGATCGCGTTCCCGCTTTGCGCGATTGTCAGATACATTATTCAGGATGGAAGGTCCTTCGGGAGGAAAACACAGGCTCGCGATTTATACACGTGCTCCGCTTTCGTTCCGTTACTTAGGAACGATGAGAAGAGAGAAAAGGATTCTCACCGATAGTAGATTCTCCGGTCTTCAAGGCATTTTATGGCACAGATAACACTATGAAGCTTCCTGTTATCTTCCTTTTGCGAGAAATGCAAATAATCTTATACAAAAACCAACATGTTGGTTTTCGTAATTTCTCATGTACAAAAAGAATATCTTCTCGAAGCGGAAGAAAAATCTTTCCTCTCTCGCCGCGAATTGAGCTACGTAAAAAAAATTAATCTTTAAGATGTGAAGGAACGTTAAAAAAATACATAGGAAGGAGCGATTCTACAAGTTTACATGATTCGCGTGACAGGATATGATCGCCTTCGTACAATCATCGATTTACTATTACCAGAAGCACGCGAATAATCAGAGTAGAGGGGTTGTCAACTTGTTATGTAAGGTATCACACTATGCGTTGCCCGTCTAAATAAACTCCTTTTGTCCGCATGATCTCTTTGAAGCTATCGAATGAAAAATAAGACACTACCATTCCTAAGTAACAGCGGCAAAAACAAGTACGCATAAAGAACATAAATTATCATAAATACTACAAAACTGTGTGTAATGTGCACGAACAATTTTCTGGATTATTACTCGAAAAGATCCAATACAAGATAAAATATATGTACGAAAATATATACACTGCAATTTTACTACGTACATAAAAAATATTTTTGTGTATATCAGTATGAATTTAACAATTCGAAGACAATTTTAAAGTGTAAAATGTACACTAATTGTAAACAATGTTTGATGTCTAATTGCTACGACATTGATGCGGTATCGAAAATTACTCGCATTTTGTATATATCCATGTTCAAGTTAAGATAAAATATCACAACAAATTTGTTCGTAGACAGACTTACATAAAATAGGTTGATTTATAAATATAAGCAAATGTAGATAATGATGAGAATGTGGCAATAAAATTGAATAAAACGTTTCTTAATACAAATAATAGTGGTAAATTTATTCTATTATATCTTATGATAATCGGACATGTAAATAAGATTTAAAATAAACGATCTCTGTACTAAAGTTTGTTATTTGTAATTCAATGTATCTAATAAATAAATAAATAGTAAGACTAGCACATAAATGTTTAGTAATGATTTTAATGATGCTTTATTATAAAATTTAATGATAAGACATTAGTGTCAATTCTATGTTAGTAAAGCAATGTCATAGATAATAGAAATAATAGTTATGTTTAAAATAATGAAAAATATAATATATAGGGAAATCACTTGATTAATACAAAATTTCGAAATATTTGTTTGTATTTCAGAAAGAATGTCGAAATCAGGAAGTATCAAAGATGGCGAGAAGGGACCCTATGACCCAGTCCCTACCGCCGAAAAGGGCAACGACGAGATCAAGTTGGAGGCGAAAATGTCACTCCTTAACGGAGTCACCGTCATCGTTGGTTCCATCATCGGTTCTGGCATTTTTGTTAGCCCAACGGGTGTCCTCAAGTATACCGGAAGTGTGAACGCGAGTCTTCTCGTTTGGACAGCGTCCGGAATTTACTCCATGGTACGCTTAATACATCTTTCTTTTATATCTAACTTTTATAAAATCACTTTAAGCTACAAACACAGAGATTAGATTTGTAATAAATAAAAAGAAAAAAATGAATTATCTGACCCATAATGATAATATCTATATAAATAAAATTTGTTCACACGAGCGTAAACATCTTAAGTAATTTCGCGACACTCGTCGACACATGCCATTTACTCTCGAGTGGCTGGATAAAAATCCAAATTAATGCAAATGCAAAATCGATCTTGGCAAACACCTTTCAATGTAAGCGGCGACACACGTGTGCAGGATTAAATTAATCCTTCGTGTTTTTCCGTGTCTTTCGACAGATAGGGGCCTACTGTTACGCCGAGCTCGGCTGCATGATCCGAAAGTCGGGGGCGGATTACGCATACATCATGGAGACCTTCGGGCCCTTTTTGGCGTTCGTCAGATTGTGGGTCGAGTGCATGATAGTGCGTCCTTGCAGCCAGGCCATCGTGGCCTTGACTTTCAGCGTCTATGTCCTCAAACCGCTTTTCCCGGATTGTACGCCGCCCGATGACTCCGTAAGAATGCTCGCCGTCTGCTGCATATGTAAGTGGATGACAAAAATTTATATTTTCTGAGGAACTTTGCGGCGAGAACGACATAAGGCGAAAGACAAATTTTTACTTAGACTCTAGAACAAATGAGGAACAAACGAGTAAAAATAAAGATAAAATAAAATTTAAATATAAATTTATTTCGCGCTGCAAAAATTATATATTATTAAATTTAATATAACATATTAATTTAATATATTATTAAATTTACATACATATTTGCTGCAATTAAGAGAATCACGTATATGAACCACGAACATGTTTTTAACGTAGAATCGATGAATTCAGCTTCCTTCTTGCGGAAGCTGGCGGAAATGAAAAGACTTGGCACGTTTTTCGTCAGCATGTAAATCGAGTTTTTGCGTTCGTAGAAATTTTCTCCGTTATATTAATTCATTCAGCATAGCGCTTTGCAATTAGGATCACGAGACTTCATGCGGGTTTCGCACGATCTGCGTGCGGAGGAAAAACGCAGTGTTGCGGCAATTAAACTTATCCGCGGAGATACTTGTTGCATGCAATCGCAGCCGAATGATGGGAGCGATGCCGCTTCTTCGCGACGAATAATCGCGATACAATACCGAGGATTGAATTTCATTGGCTCGCGCGTCCATTATAAATATTTCAAACACGGGCCGACGCAACGTGACCCAAAATTCGTTCCTTCCCACAGCAATCGCAGCCCTTAAATGCTTGAATGTCATGCTCGGGACTTCGATTCCTGTCTATAATTCTACGCTCTTCCTCTCGATCGCTCCCCCATCGTTCATCTTTCATTCTCATCTTGTTCTCAGATTTCTCTTTTTATCGCTCTCCTCCACGGATCGGTTAGTCTTCGAGACACCGCGACGTGACTTATGCATCAGATCTAATACTCGACTAAATTAATTTATTTCTAATCCATCTCTCCGATTCACTTTATCTATTTATTTTAATTTTGCGTAAACAGATCTTTTCTTCATTTGTCTTCTCTCTATTGATCTTAACTTGATTGCAAAATTTAGTCGCGAATTTTTACAGCAAAGTTTCAGCAAATCTTGTTAGAATAAAAAAAATATTTTATCTTTCTTCTTGCGAGTCGCTCAATTGCAAAGTGATCATAAAATGCATATTAATTTCAATGTTACAAAATAGATATTAGAAAAATGTTAAAATGTTTGAATTTTTTTCTTATTAACAAAACCTAAAAAACATTTTTAGGTTTTATTTATTTACTATTATTTTTAGTTTTTTTAACAATAATAAATAATAGCACAAACATGATATAATATTTATGGCTGTATATTATTCAAAAGGTTCGTTAAAATGTATGCAAAGTAAAACACAATATAAATGATTATAATTTGTCGTTTTTAAAAGACAAAATCACATAGATTGTCTTGTCTAGAATAGTTAACAAATATTAAAAATAAAACTTGGATGTCAATAACAATATGCAATAAATAAATTTAACAATTATAATAAAATAAGACAATTTGGTTGAGCAAAAATTTATTCATTAAATTATTAACAAAATTATTGCTCGATTTATAAATTAGCGAGTATTAAAGTATTATTTTAAAATAAAAATGATTTCGAAATTATTTTAAAATAAAGCAAATTATTATTGATCAATGGAATATAAAAAAGGTAATAGATTTTTGTAATCTTTTCTTGATTTTGCTAAACTCATTTAGAGTATTGTTAAATATCATATTCTCTTGCGAAAAGTCGCATTGCGAGAAAAACTATTTTTATACGAAAAGAAAAATTGTTTACCGAAAAGTTTTCTTGATTAGTAAGCAACTACTACTTGCCGAACTGTACTTGGAAATTCCAAGATGAAACCACTTACGCGTTACTCGAAGAAGTCTCGTATACGCGGAATTTCCTGAGCAATGAGATCGACAATATTCTGTAACAACCTTGAGCCATGTATTTCGCCCTTGACGTTTTATTTCCTCTGCTCATTTTCCAAAGAGAATTCAGCTATTCTTTTCACGTGGCAAACAAGGTATAGAGCAGCGATATGCTAACTCTTAGTTGTCGCACAGTAAATTACTAAGAGTTTAATAATTTAAGTCACAACTTGAAAAATAAGTCACAACTTTCCGAACAATCCTCTAAAGTATAATGTGGTGTCGATAAGGAAAAAAATTAAAAGAACAAAATTACACTAAAAAGTAATTAAGATGAGAAAAAGAGAGAAAAGGAAGATTCTTTCGATTCTTACGCGACGTTACAACGAGTTTTTATATGGCATCGCATTATTCTGTTTAATATGTTTGCTTGGCGTGAGTCTTTTTGTTGGCGTGAATACGAAAAGCGGACGTCATAGCACGTTCTCCGTTTTCATAAAATGAAAAACGGCCTTCACATTAATGTCTCCCTCTTTTTAAGTTAACAGAGATGGTACAGAAAGCTAAATCATAATTCTTATCCTTTATTCGCACTGATGCGCGCAATAATGACACTCTCTTGAATGTGAACGGAGATACTCTTTTTTTCAAAGAAATTACGAGCGACTACGCCAGCAGTAATTTTTATTTCTTTTAATTTCCATGAGCAATCGCGGAAAAAGCCCGGACGTCAGGAATCTCTTTACGATTGAATGCTGATTAATAACAAGAAAGAATTTGTTCACGGTCGCCGATTAGGAATAAACAACCAGTCAATCGCGTTACGATACGAGGTATTCTTATGGAAATTCGAGAACACACGCAATTTTGTATATATTCCTTCATATTTGTTACATTCTGTTTTTGCTTTTTTGCGAATGAGCGTTCGAAAAGATGGGTACTAATCGAATAGCATAAAACGCTCTCATAAAATATTTAAGTGAAATATTAACAAGAAGAAAGAGAATATGAGAAATACAGAGTGACTTTCGTAAATAGAAAGTTAATTATTTGAGAGATGAAAAAGAGCCCAAAAACAAGAGAGAAAGTACAGTGAACAGTGAATAGACTCGAAAATTTATTGTTTTAAAGTTATCGCCATTTTTATGTTGAAATTTGAAATTGCTTTGCTTTCAAACTTTTTTTGTTTAAAATTGAATTTAAAATTGAATAAAAAGATGGTTTTCATGAGTTTTACAACAATAATTAACTAATTAATTAAAATCAAATAAAAGTTGCAGGCTGTTTTAACATTATTCAGAATGCATAAATAAATGAAGTTTTGATCTTGCCAAGAGATGTTAAGCGGGCTGTATCTTCACGTGGTACATCTTGTGTAGTGCAGCCTATAACTATTATTTAATTTTAATTATGTTATAAAATTTATAAAGACTATTTCTTTTAATTTTGACAAAAAAAATTCAAAAGCAAAGTAATTTAAAATTTCAATATAAAAATGGCGATAATTCGAAAACAATACATTTCCGGGTCTATGTTTGTGCTAATTTTTTTTCTTATTTTTGGGTTGACTTCTATTTTTGAAACATCCTGTATAACAAATAGAATTTTTTCAGGTCAGATTAAGATAAGCGAGACGGACACGAACAAACACGAATAACTTTTTCATTTTAATTTTAATTATAATTAAGAATCATCAATTGTTAAATTTTAAAATAATGAAAAAAATGATGTATATTACAAAAAATTAAATCATAAATTTGCATTTATTATTTGTCGTAAACACTTATGTAAGATTATTAATATTTGATTGAGATTATTAATATTTTTTATGTAAGATTATTAATATGTAAGATTATTAATATTTAATTACCAATGATAGATTCATTAATGATAATCGATTCAATAATCATTAATATTGTTGTAATTAATATTATTAAAGTTACTTGATATCGTTCGGGTTAAGCAACGTGCGTTTCTTTAAGTAGTTCTAATTATGGGATATGTCGGAGTATAATTTACACAGGATCATGTCACGCGGGAAGATCATTTTTGACGAATTCATTCTGCGGACAAGGATACGACCACGAGCGAACGTATCGTGTTCCTTGCGGTCATTTGACTGCGCACTTCTTTTGCTTTTGCTTTGCTATCACCCCTGCGGATCGCGTTACAAATACGCAGACATAATTGCATTTCAGTCATTTTCTTCGGGAGACAATTGACGAAGCGTCTACCTCGCAAATATTTATGAATGGAGTAAATCTGCAAATATTTGCACGAGATGCAATGTCACTCCTTTCTTGTAAAAAAACAGCTTGACAGAAGATATAAAAATATCTTTCGCCGAATATGCAAAAAACTCTCTTAAACATATAAACAATTCAGTCAAGTTAAATCAGGTACCTTTTATCGTAACGTGGGCGCGACGCAAACTCGACGCAAACTCAAACGCAATGAAATCTGTCCGTCAACGAAATGAATTTGTTCAGACAATTAATTTAATTAACTTACGATATATTTGCGCATCTCAAATCGAAAACCTGATATGATTAACGTTTTATGATATCGAACGCGTAAGAACGATATTTTTTTCGGACTGTGACGCAAAAAATCTATTGCGCATGAGATTGGCATGATCCACGAATAATAGCTCCGAGCAATTGGAAGTTAGTCGTTCGTTAACTGCACGAGTCGACACACTTCTCTCTCGCTTTTCGAACGATAAATTACATTTATTCCGAGTTTTATGTAAAATAACGCGGGAAAAATGCGACGAGCTTGTCGGTGACGCCGTCCGTAAAACTCGTTCGTTTGAAGGAAATAAGATTTCGCTATATATAATGCTCCATTTATTCCTTCCGATAAATCGCTCGATAAACTGGGAAATAGATTTTCCTGTGAAGGAAAATAAAGTGCGAACGCATTCGATTGGCAACGACGACGATGTCATTTGTGAATAAATGAACGCGCGTCGCGTTTATCATATTTACATTTTCGAAATAATTTACATACAAACGAGCTGTTTACAGAAAAGTCTTTCCTACGTATTTTTATAGATTTATTTTATTTTCACAGAAAAGTCTTTGCCATTGATTTATTTCCTAATATTGGATTTAAAATTCAATGTTTTAAATAAAGGAAAAATATTTTATCAACGTGGTTTGATTAATTAGCTAAGAGAATATATAATTAATTACAAATTTGCATCGATAACAAATCGAATTTCAGTTCGTTAGTTAAGTCAATCACGTTTACAAAGCATTTGCAAGAGAGGATGCAAATACCATTTCTATGCATACCATTTCTATGCATTATGTACATATGTTATATATGTATAACGTTGTATATACATATACATATACACATTTGGCTTAATTATGTTTTTCTCGTACGAGTGAATGATAACCCGTTTTCATTCCACGCTGGCAAGTGATAGAGATCAATGACCAGAGCGAGCATATGTCCACATCTTCTTGCTTCATTTGTGTCAAGTGCAACGATTCGCGATCGAGCCGTCTAATTGTGTGACTGACACTCGTTGCAGGATTGCAAATTAACAAAGCAAAATCCGCATTGCGAAATATTCCGCAACTAATGTCGTCGTGACCATTTGTGGCCAAATTTCTATTTTTAATTCGGCAGATTTAGAGGGATTTAATTTGACAATAGACAGATCGTTCTCTCTCAGCTGATTTTCTCAGATGGATTTAAAAAAAAAATATATATATATATATATATATATATACGATGCGTTAACTGACACGTGATTACGGCGACACGTGGCCGGCCAGTGGAAAGAAAACGATCGACGCGGACCGAATGGAAACGTCGATGCGAGACCGCGCGCGCGAGTCAAAAGCCTGATGGCAATCACGCCTCATTGTGAGCAAATGTAATTTAATAACGTGACAACTGGCCACCACAACAGCATAATTCGCCGGTGGGGGGATAACGGGAGCCAAAAGGAAAGCGAAGGAAGGAAAGACAAAAGTCGAGCGGACGAAGGGTGAAGGGGGAGAGGAGGAGGAAATCCGTCGAAGGCGCGCGAAGGGGAACAGGGCGAAGGGGAAAGACGGAGTCTCGCGATATTTCTGCGAGATGTTGCATCAGTCTCTCGACTTTTCTTCTTCCTTTTGTTCCACGCGAATCCATCAAGGACGCCGTTCTAATCGACGTCGTGGCAACAAAAGAGAAATCTTCTCGCCAAACTTTGCGTCAAAGACGCGATCGTTTGTCGAACGGACAAATTGATATTATCTCTTGCAAATCGAGCGTTTGCGATAATGATGACAAAATTGTCTTTTTCGTCGTAATTCGTTTTTTATTCACTAGGGAAAAGAGAATGAAGAGATTTAAAGCATACGAAAGCAAGTAGGATAAGTGTCCGGTTGAAAGAAGAAAGAATGTACCAACACATTTTTGTCTTTAAAATATAAGGATTTTTAATCGAGATTTAAGATGAAGAGATACAAAATTCTTAATGTAAAACTGAAAAGATTTTAATCAAAGTTATAATTTAGAATTATTATTAAATCAAAGATTTACGACAGAAAAAAAATTATTGCGAAAATTCATATCTTTTTCGATTGAGTAAAATTATAAATTTTTGTAAAAAAGAACAGAACTATAAATTTTTTTTCTTAATGCTTTGTAAATTAAAATACATTTTATTTTTTTCGAAAAAGATTTATAGCACTGTTCAACAAAAAGAGAAAATTCCAGAATGGGACTAATCATTTCTCAGTTTTTTGGACGTTAGATATAAATCCGATTTCCAAGTTATTCCATCACGTCACAGTGAGAAATTTGTTGAATTTGTTTTAGCTGAAGTTGCAAAAGAGGACTATATTCTCACGTATTTTATTATAACTACAATATGTGATATGCTGGAAAAGTTTTATTGCACTATTAAATATATTATTAAGAGCTTTTAACTCTGAATTTTTTATGTCGGCTATGATTAATAAGATCATAAAATGATCTTTAATATGATCATTAAGTACTTAGTTTATTGCGGAAAAACTGTGAATTAAATCATTGATTATTATATACATCACTTCATCAAACAATTTTCGCTTATATTTATTTAAACTTAAGTCTCTTTAAATCACTGAATACGAATTTCAAAATTGACAAATTCAAAATTGTGAATTAATTTTGATTGTAATCAAACTTCTCCAGCACATCACATATTGTAACAAATATAACTAAAATATATGAAAAAATAGTCTTTTTTGCAAATATCTCAAAACTGTGATGTAATGGAAACTGAATTCGTATTCAACATCCAAAAAAACTACGAAAAATGACTAGTTTTATTCTGACAATTGAGAAAAAATTATTTTTTCTTAAATAATGGAATCAGCTCATTTTATTCTGTTAATTCCTTAAATAAATCATTTAAAACGATGAAATCGCGTATGCAACCGGTTTGTAGCTGGCACGACTTAGGGGAGATTTGTAACGGTCTCTCGTTATTATAAAGTTATGGCGAACAAGTGAGCGACACATGGAATCGAGCAGCACGCGTGACCACACATGATTTCTTAATTAGATTGACTTGATGTCATTTATACGAGTCGTATATATGAATTCATATATCATACTTGTTTGTAGGTGATGAAAAATAATTACTCAATTATTTGTACGTTGATGACAATCGTCTGAGAGATGTCCTTTCAATAATATTCTTGATGAAAGAAATTGTACACACATCGCAATTGAATACGTCCTGATTGTATGATAATTACCTCGATTGTTCGCGATGATTGTTTCAGGTATTCTCGCGTTCATAAATTGCTGGGATGTCAAATGGGCGACGAGAGTGCAGGATATCTTCACGTATGCGAAGCTACTCGCCCTTTTCATAATAATCTTCACCGGAGCATATCAGCTTTGCACTGGTAAGTTTATCATATTATCATGCTTAATTGTTATATTGGCAAGATAAAATTTCGCGCATCTAGATTCGTAGGAATTACAAACGTGAGATTTTGGAAAAAATTTAGCAAGGATAAAAAAATAAAAAATATGGCGAAACTATACATTCAGAAATGTTAATACATGTCAAAATTTAAAATAGACATACGAAACAAATATTGATCCAATCCAAATAAATTACTCCACGGTATTGTTCCGTGCTCTTCAGAAAATTGCAATTATTAAAATTGCAATTAAGAATAGATAATAAAACCCAAATTAAAGTGCTGATATTTTCGTATCGCGTGAGCGCAAAATATTCTCACGAAGACGGAATCGAGCAATATTTTTTATTTAATATGACTAAAGTAGAACGCGCGATAAGTTAATTATACAAAGCGGATAGGTTACAGAGCATTACGAGGTGAAAGGTCAACGACATCGATGAGGAAGCTCGATCGCGTGCAATTCGCAGCGATTTGCAACGATCTTAAAACGACGCTAATCGTCGCCACGTGGTCGCGCTCTCCGTTTTTCGTGCATCATGAACTTTTCTTGTTCCCCAACACGAACGATTTCACGGAACGAAGCACCGAAGTTCTGTTGTACTTTCAATCAAGTCGAAAGAATCGATCTTACATCAGGCAGACTTTCTCTTTGCGGATAAATTGTGTAGGCCGATCGATAACTCGAACGTTTTTTCGACATGCCGATTGTATCTTTCATCATTCCTTTCGTTCTTGTCGGTGTTGGAGAATAAAATCACGTTAATAAAAATCACGAGTATAAAAAATTAATTGAATTCAGAGGCACGATTTATTTTATTGTGATGAGAAAACGGGATTCCGTTATATAAAAATATGAAACAAAAAAAATTCTAAGTCATCTGAAATACGGTTATCCGCATTTTTATTTGTTTATAGTAGATTCTACGATATTAAAATAGATTATGTTATTGATTGTGAACATATTACGATATATTTGTACTTGTGGTCTAAGATATATTTCTGATGTAATATTAATCACGCAAAATTTTCCATTTGGATTACGCAAGAGTTATATTAGATATTGTATACGTGTCACTTGTCCATTTTTTATTTTTTAGGTAATATTTATTATAGCTTGTTTTTCAATTTGTTATACAGTAAATATTACACACATTGTATAAATTATTTCAATTTAATTTTAATTAATATAATATACATATAATATACATATTTATACAATAATTTATATTAATATACAATGTGTGTAGTATTTGCTGTATAACAAGTTGAAAAACAAGCTATAATAAATTTAAATTTTAAATCATACATTTTAATTATTACTTACGATTTATAAATAACTTAAGGCTTCGATAATTGATTTGTCCACGATATTATTCTATTCATAGGAAATTAGATATACAGCAGATTATTTATGTTTATGAAGAGAAAGTAAAATGGTGTATATACAATATACGTATCGTCATCAATCGATATATTTCTCTCTTTCTCTTTAACAAAACCAATCGATATCATATCAAATTTATTTAACAAATAAAATCATTTATATGATTATCAATCTTTAAATAAAAGATTTACGCAATAATAATTATTTATCATATGTTATAATGTGCAAACTGGAGAGACAAGAGTTTCTTAAAAATAAATTTTAATTGATAATTAATAAAAAAAGTATATATCTGATAAGCCTGTTAAACAAATTTAAAATAAAGTATTAAATATGTATTTATCAAATAGATCAGAGATTTTTGACGTTAAATTTGTTGCAAGCACATCTGTTTTAATTTAAATCAAGAATGAATCAATCTCAGGTTGAATTAGAAAACAAAATCTTTTTATACATTTGCATGAGAGATTTTGGACGAGGAATCGACGTTCAACGGAAATTGGACGTCTTTTCAGCACGATACACTTGCCGGACGAGACAATTTACCCAATCAAAAAGGTGGGTTAAATACGCAGGCGATGCGACGTAGTCGGTGTGCGTGCAAGGAATCGCTTAAATTGGACTATTCAGCGAACCAAATGGTTCCTTGACCGCGGTATGCGACAATCATCTCGATTCTGACGAAACTTTTCTTCGACCTTACGCCTCGTCTCATCTCTCACGCCTCAGCTCATCTTTCAGTGATCCCGTTCAAAGCTCCATTTCGCATGAGAAATTAATTAGAAAATTTTCTAATTAACCAGAATTAAATTAAGAAAAGAGAAAGAAACTCTAATTAAAATAAAAAAAGATCGAAATGTCAAAACTCGATACTAAGCAATATGTAAATAAAATCAACGATTTTGTAGTTTTACACCTGCGTTTTACGCAACGCTAAATAAATTATAGGAAACATGTTAATGATTGATTGTTGTTAGAATTATACACATTAATAATATTAAATATGAGTATTGTATCTCTCACTCTGTGAAACAACAATTTTATATCGACGTCTCGTTTTTCTCAGGGCACACGCAGTATTTCACATTCGAGAACAGCAACACGGAAGTCACGTCTATAGCCCTCAGTTTTTATTCAGGCCTGTTCGCCTACAATGGTTGGAACTACTTGAACTTCATAATTGAAGAACTGAAGGACCCCGTTAGGTGAGAATCGAGTGCTTTCGCTGCGCAATAAATTAAATACGATTCAAAGAAAGTTTATAATTACACAGTAATTCGACAATAGCCACCACCATAAATCATATTTAGCCCTGTACGCGTAAAATCATGCATTTATTTAGGAATCTACCGAAAGCCATCGGCATCTCTTGTACTCTCGTTACTATCGTCTACGTCTTCACGAACATGGCCTTTTACACGACGCTCAGCCCGGTCGAAGTACTCGGTAGCGAAGCTGTGGCAGTGGTAAATAATCAGCAGATACATCTTTGCAAATAAATAACTTGAGACTTGAAGTAGTCTTTCATGTCTCAAGTGAAATATAAATTGAAAAACACAAGTAACCAAATTAAATTTTATCTTGATGTGACAAAAAAACTTCCATTTATTTATTTTTGTTATGTAATGAGAACAAGAATAAAATAAAAGAAAAATATAAAATTAAAATAAAATAGAATAAAATGAATAGACATCCACAAAATATTGTGGATGTCTATTTTTTTATTTCATTTTATTTTATTTCAATTTTATTTAATTTTAATAACGGCATGTAGTTCGCAATATAAACAATTAATTCCGAATTTGTG